TGAGTCCACTTTCTGAGTCCACAGTGAACTGAACTTCCCGCCACAACTCAATCCTTTTATAGGATTGAAGCAGAATTGGATTCCACCAATCAGAACTTAGCAGCTCTACAAGACGTCCGCCGATGGCGTGATGTCGCTCAACCAATGAGCGGTCGAGTCTTCAAAAGTGGTCTGATCGCTGTTTCTATGGCGACAACTGTCGTTAGTCGAACGATTGGAAAAGCGCGGGAAAACCGTGTGCCAGATGATTTTTATCCCGACATTTTGTATCAAGTCGAAGTCAGATGTAAAATTTTGTGAATTGTTTCGTCCCTATTTATGCAAGAGCGGAAGAGGGGAATGTTGCATTTCATTCCTGTGAATGTAAACTTCCAACATTAACTGAAAGTTTGCCCGGGAAGAACGCGTGTCAACCGGATTCGTCTGCCCGTTTGTATTGTTAATGCTCACTCAATAGTAACTGTACAAATTAGACATTATCCCGTTCAGGGTAAAGTAATGCAGTCGTTATTTCCAGAAAGACGGAAACATGGACTGACATCTTCCAGAGCTGCCAGCTAAAATGTTGCTATCCCGAGCAACATTTTAAAAAGGCAGGGAGCTCTGTGAGGACCCAAACGAAATCTGAAATTGCAGAATTCTTATGTTTAAATTATAATGATAGACTAAATATGAGAGAGGAAAAATCCCTTAATCTAAACAATGCAGCACAAAATGTAAACAAGTTCCGGATGACTCCAACATGTGTTAAACAATCTGTCAATGTCAAAATGAAAAGTTATAACTCTGACACAAGTGCTTATAAACAGGTAGAACTCTGACTCATAAATAATCAATCTAGGGAAATAATTTCGTGAAAGGGGAAAGATTTAAGAGATAGAAAACATTGCATATGATCGTTAAAGTACCAAGATGACAGAAATTATAAGTAATGGGGCTAAAGTATGAGCGTATGTCTTGCAGTTTTGTCAACAATCCCCAAGCACATTCAACAAAAAGGCATCAAATAGACACCTGGAATCAGACCTTTCTCGTGACCCGAGTCGGTCTCGGTTTTTGCCCGAAACAAAAGAGAGACCAATTGGGAAGTGAGGAAGGGGGATGAGGGGCCAATCGGAAATATGAATAGTGGGAGAAAAACTATAAAAATCAGAAATTTAAGGTCAAAGGAGAGTCTCTTCTGTATTCTGCAAAAAGTTGTGATTTGTGTTGTGTTGTGTTGCTGTCAACAACTAGGACACCTCAGCATATCTGCGAGCATTTGTCCATCGATCTCATCTCGTCTGCCCCAGGGCTACGACTGAAGCTGAAGTTCTTGCCAAAGGACTATAGACAATTGGAACTGTCAATTATTGGTGTAAGCATAAATGTTACCAAATAAATGGCTTTTTCTTTTGTAAGACACTTGTCATAATTTGCCTCCTCCTCCTCAGCCCACATGCGAAATTCCCTTAGGTTCATCCTGACGCGGGATTAATTGATCCCTTAAAAGTCGTCAACCTTACAATTTTTAATTTAAGATGAACAGATATTGGTGATCAGAACAATATGTCCATAAAGTGAATGTTCTTATATATGAACAAGTAAAACGGCAAAGTTGTATTTGGGACAAGACAATGTCTCGGAGACTCACTACTAAGCGGAATCATTTTGATGTTCAAGCGGGTCTTGTTCTCATTCTCCAATTTTCTTTGGTATCACTGGTTTTGAGCACGATCATTTAGACTTCACCAGCCATATCCACGAGGTCATCCACGATGCATTTTCGGTGAAATTAACCTATCTATGTCAAAATTTCTTTCCGTTGCATGTCAGCCCGGGTTGAATTTTTGTCAATGCCTAACGAAAATTTCCAATTTTTGAAAAAAATAATCATGGCTATTGTATTGTCTGAAATTATTTTTTATTTTGCACAAACAATATACAATTTAACTTGATTACAATGCCATCGGATGTAACGACAACCCTAGTATAACATCTTTAGTGGCGTGGCTAAAATCTGTACGTGGCACGTCCTACCTAGTCTGTGAAGTCCATGTCTTTTGTTCTGCCGGTAAAGATTGAGAAATGACCCAGGCAAATAATTTACTTAATTTGGATCGGCTACACGATATTTACAATTGTGGCGAGATATTATGGTCCCACGATTTTACTATACTAGATAATGTTAAAAAACCTACTTGTAACAACATAAAACCGTTTTAATGTCATATTTGAAGCAATCCCAAATTTACAAAATTAGCTTACAAATTTTATTTAACATAGAAGAAACTACATGTTCAGTCCTAAGGTCAGAGTTCACTTCTTAGAATGACTGTGGGTGGTACTCTCCCCCACCTGACTTCGGTGGGGTGAGGTGCCTGTTTGTAGAAGAGGGTTGCCATTTTGTATTTTATTTTGACTCAGTTCTCGGTCCCCGACTACCTACAAGTCTGGATTTTTTTTATGCGCAAATGATTTGGGCACCTAATACTCTGTGCCAAATATAAACTCTCGACATGTACTCCTTCATACCTCTAAGCTGGTAATATTGACCAGCAGTACGATTTTATAAACAAGACAGTCTTGTCAATAAGTGGATGTACAGCTAGTAATGTTTATTTGGTTTATGGAAGTTTTGTTCAAACTTAATAAGTAAACTTTTATAATATAATTCTAAATTGTTAAAATTATTAGTAGACAGTGACCCAATATTACTTCGTGTTTCTGGCTCCATAGTATCATCTATATTAAATGCTTGCTTTCAGGTAACTAGCTGTTTAAATTTTCCCATGAAGGAATGTTTTTGTCTTGTTTTAGGACAGCTTCAGCTTCTTAATCAACGTAAGTCACTGTTCTAACTGAGCTCAAACGTGTTTGACATATAAAACTATAAGTCAAACTACACATTTTTTGTTCTAATTTCCTAAAATCAAACCATGCGTGCTCGGTATTATCTTTACTTTCCAGTTCAGCTGTCCATGCATAAGGTTTCATTTTAACAATTTATAATGAAAACTTATGGTTTTGAATTATCATTTGATCCATCAAAAATGATAGTTTGAAAATGTATTGTTTGAAATATTGTTTGATTTGTCAAAAATGTTCAAATTTAGTTGGAACAGTGACTTATGTTTGTTAAGAAGTTGAAATCATCTTAAAACAGTACAAAAATGTTCCTTTATGGGAAAATTTTAAACAATTGCCTGCCTGACAGTAAGCATTTAATACAGATAATAAACAGTGACTTTATTCACTTTAAAAATGAAATTCTAGTTATTCTGTTTTGAACTAAATATGGTAAACCCTTGATTTAATTGACTTTGGATCTAATGGACAAAAAAAAATTTCTCTTATAGGAAAAATTTAAAACTTTCTTTTATTTATGATTAGAACATGGTAAAATGTTGGAACAATGAGTCAGAGTATAAATTTTTTGAAAGTATTTGAAGTTTTAAAAATTGATTTTTCGAGTATTATCATTCTAATATTCCATTTTGGAATTCTGTTTCATTAAAAAAGCCTAGGCAGGCCTTGAAGTTCCAAAAACGTTTGGAGTTTTTATTAAAGTTCTGTTCCTGTATTTAAAGGTTTTGTTTTTATTTGATAAATTTTTCAATGTACTGTACTGTACATTATATTATTCATTATTTTATTATACATTATAATAACATTTTAACACATTTGAACATTTTAAATTTGTTATTAATATATGTTTTTAAAACACACTTGATTTAACAGTCTCAGAAAAGCAGATGCCCCTTTCTTCTAATTAATTGTTAAATTGAAAAAAAGGGGTTATCTAATTAGTCAGTAAGCCATTTACTCTACAGCTTAGTGACTAATTAGTTCAATTAGTCACTAAGCTGATTTTTGATTTAATATTAAAGTGGATTTATTTTTATGATACATATAAAAACTTTTAAGGTGTTTTTATTATTTTAAATTTCAAATAGAATAAATATGAGTATTTATATATATAACTAAATTTAAATAATAATTAATTATTTAAATATATTGTGGAATTAATGAAATTCATAAACGATAAAATTAACTGAATATGATATAAAATTTTATATATTTTACATAAGTAATTTTATTAAATATAAACAAAAAGTTTATATAAAATTAGTAATTCAGATGATCAGTTTTTTGTAATATCTGCCAATTATACTTCATGTTACAAATATTATAGATATATATAAATTAATTATAGATATAATTACAAATTAAATACAAAACTATTTGTATTTAATTTGTAGTTATATCTAGTTGTAAATGAAACAATATTATCTATATTATAAATAAATCATAAAATTTTTAATTATGAAGACATGCAATTATATTGAAATAATTTAAAAAATGTTTTATATGTTTTTTGATTTCTGAATAGTTAAATTAATTTTTTTTGACATTCAAGTTCTGTGTATTTGTGAACAAATACACGGAAAACAGATACACAAATACACAGAAACAAATACAAATTTATTTATAGAAATATGACTATATTGAATAGAAATGATTAAGCTGGCAAAGAATATAGTTTATATATAAACTATGGGTCAATATAAGCTATATTTCATTTCATATCAAAGTTTTGAGTTAATGTCCAGAAAAATATTTATAATTTATAAATGTTTTGCATTAAAATAATTTTTGTAAAGATTGAGCAAAATTAAAACTAAAAGCATGTTTTTGCATTTTGCCTAGAGTATTGATGACTGATTGTAAATGCAAAAACATTTTGTATAGGTTTTGTATAATAATAAAACATCAAAATTTTCCTAATTAATAAATTTTAGTACTTCATGGTAAAAACAAAACGCACTAATAATATTTCAGTACAGCTTTTACATTTTCCAAAATTATATTTCATATTTTATAGAAATTAATTTTCTTACTCTATATTTGATCAAAAATTTTTTTTGTCATCTGTGAATAATAAACATTTTGTATAATCACNACACGTTAACAGATCTTTGAAAAATAATAATTTGTATCATAAATTTCTTTCTGTGTAGAAGAGCAGTCACATATTGAATCAAAGCAAAAGAGTGAAAAATTAAAGAAAGTTGATGAAAAAGAATTTAAAGAGATTGCTGATAAAAAGCAAAAAGCATCTCATGAAAAAATTGAAAGTAAAAAAACTCCTGAAAAGAAGGAGAAAATAAAAGAACAGGAAATAAGTAAACGATTAATTGAACAAGAAACACGTTCTTTAGAGCTTAATGATAGTAAGTTTAATTTTTAAATTTTAAATTAATTTATTTTTAAGTGGAAATTATCATAATGATTTTTAATATTTAATTTATTTTTATAATTTTCTCTATATTTTTAAGAAAAACTAAATGATGTTTTAACTAATATCATATTAGCAATGATGTTATAGATTAAAACTGAATATTTGATATAAATTACATGTTTAGATAATATGTAGTTTATGAAGTCTACAGTGAAGTACTTACATTTTATATAGTTCCACAATTTTATAACTTAATCAATAACATTTTAAGTGTTAATTGTAGTCTATGAACAGAGGATACTGTTCACTGCTAAGCAGTTACTTATTTAATTGAGATTTCTTCTCTCCTAATAAATTTTCATCAAATTTTGCATTTAATTAAGAAATTTAGGAAAAATTGTCTTTATTTCTGTTTTTGGATTTTTATTATCTGGCTTATGCTGAAAGAAAAAGTCTTCCATTACATATTGTGCTGTTTTAATTTGATTTTTATGTTTAGGAAAATAAGTGTAATTTTTGATAAATGAAAATTTTTTAACAAATACAAATTTGCATGTCACATTTTCATTAAAATGTTGAAAAATCTACTGTTAAAAAAAATAAGTTTTAAGGTTTGATGACTTCCATAAAAATGAAAATGTATACACACTTTCATTGTAAGGTAACCATCAAAACTGGAGCTTTTATTCTTAATATTGATAAAACTTTTATTGAAACTGTCTTGGTTACATTTATATTATAGTAAAACACAAATTGGCAAAATATTCTGGACTGTAAAGTTTGAAAATTTACTTTAACTTCTGATGCTGTGCATTCACACAATAATTCCAGCATTTCTTCCAGGAGTGAAATGCTCTCTGAAAGTCATTGACAAGTAATAGGTTTAGCAGTGTCTGCAGTTGCCTTTAAATATCCTTATTCTGATAAGAATAAGGATTTAATTTACAGTGATACCTCAGTTTTCATTGATAATCCATCTGAAAACAATTGGTGGAATCTGAAACCGATGAAAATCGAGGCAATGATTTCCATATGAATCAATGTAAATCCAATTAATTTGTTCTACACACTCCAAAACACACATCAAAAACACATTTTATAGAGAATAAATATAGTGTTTAATACTGAAAACAATAAGAAATTAATATAAAAGACTAATGTAAAGAATAAATGAATGTTTAACATGGCATTCGAAGGCCAGCAGCCCTTCGAATGCCATGTTCTGGCCTTTTAGCTACATCATGGGACCAATGAGTCCCATGATGTAGCTAAAAGGAAAGGAAACAATGGAATTGTTTGGCTTTTTTTAAACTCTTTCTGCCCTGTGGGCACTAAGAGGGCCTCTTTTAGCAAGCCTGTTATGGGTTCTGCCAAGCCAACAATAGGGCGGCTGGGTGGTGAGTGACGAGGCCCAACATATCTGGATGGACCACTCCCGAAAAATTCCTGGGGATTTTTTGACCCGTCTGCATTAGATCCTGGGTCCCCTAGAGCAGTAGGTGCTACCTTGACTGCTCAGCCATCCAGCTGTCATAGAAGAGTTGTTTGGCTAGACGCGGGGGGAGGTAATTCTCACACAATGAGAAACAACGCCACACTGAGCAGGAAAACACATGGGTTGCCCTTTGTTTTCGCAAAATTAGCAGTGAGGTTGCATGAGCATGCCAACGAAATCTGAGGCAACCAATGAAAACAGAGACAAATTTTTCGCGAAAAAAATCAACAAAAACTGAAACCGACGATAACTGAAGTCAACGAAAACTGAGGTATTACTGTATATGCTTTTTCAATTTCATTTTAATTTTTTTTTTAAATTAACAAAAAGAAATTGCAATTAGTTAAATCTGGCAAGTAAGGAGAGTAGGGGATGACAGTCAGGTTGTTTTTGCTAAAAACATTTGAGTGTTCAATTTGAGTGAGTTGGAGTATTGTGGTGAAGCAGAATGTTGTGTCAAATGTTGAGGTGTTACCTTCCTACATATTTTGGTGATTTTTCAGTAATTGTGTGAAATTATTGAGATAAAATAATTTATATATATATAAATATATNCTTGCATTTCCTATGGCAATCATCCTTCTGTAAGTGGTATAATTCTAGCTCCAGTTACTGAAAAAATTTTAAGATCAAACTATGAAACCAATATCACAATTTTCTGACTTTTATTGAATTTTTCAGAACAAAAGTTTTTTTTGCTTTTTTTATTGTTGAAATTATTACTGTTATTATTAAATAATTTAATGATCTGTTTTTTTTTAAATGTAAATACATAAAGTAAATAAGTAAAAACATCAAATTATTGCAGATTACTGCACTTTTTTTGTAGTATGCAAATTTGCATATTTATTGAAATTGAATATAAATGAAACCAAAACTAAAATTTCATTGCACATAACTTCATATATCTTTCAGAGGACAGGAAACACTAAATGAATTCCCCAATCAGAATTGAGAGTGCATTTTTCAAATGGTGCAATTATAAATAAACACTAAAAAAATTGGTGTTTGCATCTGTATACATTATACAGGGTGTCCCAAAAAAATGTATACACACTTTAAACAACAACAATGTTGATGTTTATTAAAATTTTTCATTTTCAAAATGTAATAGAATCTACAGACATTATTTAATTGTTTTGTCAATGTCAAACTGATATCTGTTCTGGTCCAAGCACTGCTGACAACGCGAAGCAATGGAATTGCAAAAGTCATGAAATGTTTTGTTTGGTATTTGTGCGCATTCTCATTTAATGGCTGCTCTCAATTCAGCAACTGTTGCAGGTTTCATAATGTAGACTTTGTCTTTTAAATATCCCCATGAAAAAAAGTCTAGTGGTGTGAGGTCTTATGAATGCAGAGGGTATTCTACAAAATCCCTTCTTCCAATCCACCTGTTTGGCAAGATCTCATTAAGGTACAATCTAACATCATGATAATAGTGTGGGGGTACCCCTTCTTGCTGAATATAAAACTCATCTTTAAAGTCCTCTCTAATACTTGGCATGACAGACTGTTCAAGTAAATGGGACCAGTCACAGTAGTATCAAAAAAGATTGGTCCAATTAATCCTCTTGATAATAAGCTGCATCATATCTCCTGATAAATTAACATCATGTTCTATCGCAACATGTGGATTATCAGGTCTCCAGTAGTTGCAATTGTGGCGGTTAATTGTACCATTTAATTTGAATGTAGCCTTCTAAACTGTGTTTGCACTTCAACTGCACTTTCACACTTCCAGTAGCAGTTTAGAATAAATTTCCTTTGTACAAAGCTTAGTCTGACTTCCATTATTAATTCTAATGGGTTTAACATGGAAATAAAAATGCATCCATTGAGCTATCAGCTGTTAAAGTGTATATACATTTTTTTGGGACACCCTATTTTTATATTATGAACAATGAAATCTGTATCAACAAATACTTACTTATTATATATCAAATTAAACAGGAAAAAACGATCTTTAATATAAACTAGTTATAAAAACCATAAATTAATTATTTTCAAATGTGAAAGATTATTAAAAACATCAACAAAGGTCAGTCCACAGTAAGACTTGAAAGTATTAAATTAAGATTATGAATGTATTAAATATACTTTTAATTTCTATTTATTTATATTATTATTTTTTTCAGAAAATAGTTTATCATTTTTTAAGAATTCCATTATAAAATACAGTGGTACCTTGGTATACGTCTGCTTTAGAATACGTCCTGTTTGGACGAAACAAATTTTGCTCGGTATATGACTTTTGTTCGGTATACGACTTAATTCAATTATACGCGCCATCAATGAACAAGTAGCACTATTGGTGTACTAGACCAGACTAGACGTTTGCGGTGCAACGGTTTATAACTTTGTTTAATTTCTTCTGATTTTAATTCGTAAGTAAAATTTTATTATTTTTATTAATAATGAATCCCAAAAAGGCAAATGAAAAGCAACAGAAAACTAAAAAAATGACTAAAATTACAATGGAACTGATGAAAGAGATTGTTGAGAAATATGAAGGTGGCACGTGTGTTCGAGATTTTAACTGTTGTTTACTGTATTCCGAGAACGACAATTGTGAAAAATGAAGGCATTATTAAATCTGCTAACGTTGCGAAAGAGGTTAAATCAATTTCTAAACAGAGATCGAAGACATTAGATCATGTCGAGAAATTGCTTTTGCTTTGGATANTATATATAAATATATAATAAATATATAAATATATTATATTTATATTATATTGTAAATTTTGGAAATTTCTATGGACACCTGGTCCTAAAACGAATTAGTTAGAAAACAAATGATGGACAATCTATTAAGTTTAACATATTTAGATTTTTACAGCTATGATGAGAAATGTTTAAAATGTACAACAACCCTATTTATACAGACACTTCATACGATAAATAATTTGTGTTTGGATTAAAAATTACTGGCACGGTTTCAAAAATACCAGTACAACAACCTTGTTGTGTTTTTTGAGGTATACTAGTGATGCGACAAAAGAGGCATTTGACATCGACTAGTATCGGCACCCTCAGGATTTGGCAGCTCGCGTGCATGCACCTACCAGGACCATCACTGATTCCATCCAATAGCCACTCGTAGGGAGCCATCTTAAAACAAATAAATCTTAAAACAATCCACTTAGTCAAATGGCTAAGTGGATTGTTTTAAGATTTAAAAAGTAAATAATAATTTATGCTATTTTTATGTATGTTTCTTTACAAAGCTATATTTAATTATAATTTTCTTTAAAAGTATATTTATACAATTGAAGAATATTTTGTACCAGGTATGGATATCCACCACACATTTTATTTCATCAAGTAAGTTTTTATAATTTTATTTACAATTTTAGCCCTTATATCATGGCTAGCAATTCAGAATGTAACTGTGATATTAAAAATACATTTAGAGAAGTCTACGGTTTTTACTGGCTTATTGAACAAACAAATATGAATGGACTCTAGACCGTCACTGACGCGCAATTGACTGATTGCCCCCGGAAGTCGGTTTCTTACAAAAACACAGCTTTCCTATCATCAAATGTCACGGCGCGCCACTGCTTCTAGCTCTATTTATTGACAAAATTTTAAGTTTAAAATTTGAAGTCGATATCACAATTTTGCAACTTTTATCAAATTTTTTTAGAATGAGATTTCCTTTTTTTTTTTTTTTTTTTTTTTTTTTTTTTTTTTTTTTTTTTTTTTTTTTTTTTTTTTTTTTTTTTTTTTTTTTTTTTTTTTTTTTTTTTTTTTTTTTTTTTTTTTTTTTTTTTTTTTTTTTTTTTTTTTTTTTTTTTTTTTTTTTTTTTTTTTTTTTTTTTTTTTTTTTTTTTTTTTTTTTTTTTTTTTTTTTTTTTTTTTTTTTTTTTTTTTTTTTTTTTTTTTTTTTTTTTTTTTTTTTTTTTTTTTTTTTTTTTTTTTTTTTTTTTTTTTTTTTTTTTTTTTTTTTTTTTTTTTTTTTTTTTTTTTTTTTTTTTTTTTTTTTTTTTTTTTTTTTTTTTTTTTTTTTTTTTTTTTTTTTTTTTTTTTTTTTTTTTTTTTTTTTTTTTTTTTTTTTTTTTTTTTTTTTTTTTTTTTTTTTTTTTTTTTTTTTTTTTTTTTTTTTTTTTTTTTTTTTTTTTTTTTTTTTTTTTTTTTTTTTTTTTTTTTTTTTTTTTTTTTTTTTTTTTTTTTTTTTTTTTTTTTTTTTTTNGTTGCGAAAGGGGTTAAATCAATTTCTAAACAGAGATCGAAGACATTAGATCATGTCGAGAAATTGCTTTTGCTTTGGATAACTGAAAAACAGTGCTGGAGACAGCGTATAGGAAGCAATTATTTGCGAGAAAGCTAAAAAGATACATGCTGATCTCACGAAAAATCAAGCAGGAACTAGCCAGGAAAGTGAGGTGTTTAAAGCCAGCCATTTTTTTTACACGAGAACGGATTAATCATTTTTACATTACTTCTTATGGGAAAGGTAGGTTTGATATACGTCCAATTCGGTATAAGTCCAAACATCGGGAACGGATTAAGGTCGTATACCGAGGTTCCACTGTATTAACATTAAGATAAGCCATTGTATATTGTCACTTTAGTAATTTATAAAAGTCTTGTTTTATGAACTTATTTGTGTTTATTAATAATAATAATTTATCTGTTATAAGTAATAGATATGTATATATATATATCCATGGTACGGTTTTCTTTATATTCTCTTTAAAATCATATTGCACCCGAAATGCATAGTAAATAAGAAAATAAGGAATATGAAGATAAGCTATTGTCTCAGATTAAATGCGGTCCAGGCAAAAAAACGGTGGTTATTTCTGTAGAATTAACCCATGGAGTTTCATCAATTTTTTGAGGAAATATTTTTGAAAAATTGATTTAAAAAAAAAATAATAATAATTTAATTTTGCATTTTTTTCTATTAGCTGTTATAAATATATTTTATAGTTTAAATTAATTCAGTTCCTTAGTTGATCATTAAAATATTTTTCATTACAAATTTATATTTAAAATTTTTACAATAATAGCTATTCTCATTTATCTTTTATTTTTAAATTCAGAATTAGAAAAGAAACTTAAAGATGGTTTAAATGAATTAGACAAACTTGTGCAAAAAGCAACTGTTGTTCAGAGTGATGCAGTTGATGCTATCAAAGAACATACCAGAAAATTATATCTTGCATTGGAAAGCAGTGAGGTAAGTTATAGACTTGATATTGTGTATTTAAATTTATGTTTATTATATTAATTTTACAATATCAGCAATACAACAATATTTCTGGCAAGTATTTATATAATTTTAATTTAATGAATTTTATGGATGTATTTTTTTTTTTAATTCCTATGTTTGTTATTATTATTATTAAAAGCAATTATTAATATAGATAAAATAATAATGATGAATTATTAAATATATTATTTAAAAAGTAAATTTTATCAAAATTCAATTTACCTCTGTCATTTATTCTCTGAATTGCTACTAAATTAAGTTTGGTTCTAGACTGAAACACTTCAAATAGTAATAAATTTATGTAGTAATGAAGACCGGGGATATAATTACAAGGGAGGCAGAGAAGGCACTTCCCTCTTTGCCCATCAGACTGGGGGGGGACACCTAACTAGGTTTTCTTTTCAGTTAACAAAGTAATAAAAAATTTTATGGAAGATTTTAATTTAGCACCTTGGTATATAAGCATAGTGTTTAGCCATTTAAAGTCTTTAATTTATATATATCCTATAGTACTTTATGAAATTTTAATTTTTATGGCTATATTTTTATTTTTAGATAGATAGCATAGGGTCATGCCTAAGTCCAATTTTGGTGCCCCTTGGCAAAGTTTTACATGGAATAATAGATAGGAAGTTGACAATAGCTAGTAGATACTCCAAAATAGGTGTTATTTATATTAGCATGGGGCTACTTACCAAATTAGAATTAAAAAAAAAAACTAAATTTTGTCATTATGCTCCTTCATATTTGTCTTTTACTGTTTTTTATTTTAAATATTTTTGATTCATTTTTCTTTGAGATTTTCAATTTTTCAGTTCTCAATTTTATAAAAAAACATATGAGATATGAATGTTTTATGAGATGTTTCAAGAACTCTCATTTGGTAAATAACCTTAACAACAGGCAGAATTAACCTATTTGATGTTGAAATTTTTATTTGTTGCCTGTGACACCATGTTGAATTTTCATTGATGTTAAGCCTAAAAATTTTTTTAAAAAATAATAATCATGTCTACTGTATCATTAAAAATTATTTTTTTATGTTGCACAAACAAAATAAATATATTGAATAATATAGAAACAAAAAAAATTATATTTTAAAAGTTTGTTTTAATATAAAAATTGTGACGCATAGCGACATCTAGTATCAAAAACATTCCGACGTAAACACGAAAATATTCGGGATTGCCCACGCAGGTCAATGAGGTCAACACGAATATTTTCAGGAACAATATAGGACAGGTTAAAGACACACTCCTCTCATCTTATCTCTTTAGAGAAACTGCTCTAACCATAAAGGACTACATCAAGGTCTTTCATTTCTAGTACCCTAGTGCAGTAGTCTGCAACTTTTCTTACCTCACGGATCACTAAAGTCACAATTTTGAATTCCACGGACCATTATCATAAATTTTTTTAAATGATACAAAATCTGTAGAATAATGATCACAAAAGTTCAGTCTTACTATATTAATATGAAACTCGCATGTTTAATTATAACTTAATGCAAACCTAAAGTTCATTGTTGCTTGTTTGAAACAAGTTTATGGATTCTTCGCACATTTCCACGAAGGATGACAATTGTTCATGGAAAAGTGCAAAGAATCCATATTGTTTATTGTTCATTATTTAAAGAATCCATATTGTTTATTGTTCATTATTTAAAGAATCCATATTGTTTATTGTTCATTATTTAAAGAAAATGTGAAGAATCACAATATTGTTTATTGTTTATTATTTATTGATAACAATCACTTAGTGTTTGGTTTAAGATTTGAATAAAAATTCTCAATGCGTGTAAAAACCAACTAAGCATTTTGTATTTTTTTTGTAATACTTTGTGTAACCTTCGGGTGATCAAATTTCTCCATGGACCACCCAAATTTTCTTGCGGACCATTTATGGTCCGTGAAACATCGGTTGCTGACCGTTGCCCTAGTGCAATGAAAATTTTGAATGACATGACCATGATTGGATGATCTTCCAAAGAGAGAAACAAAGCAGCAGTTTGAATATGTTGAGGTATTTGATGTCATTGTTACAATTACCAATTATGATGGAGACAGTATGTCTCCAGATAAATTATAGCATCAAAAATGTTACCCTCAAATAAGAAGTTAGCAAACCAACAGTGTTTCTTAAAAACACACTAACCAGCATGGAGAAGCTTCACAATGACTTTGATGAAGTTACCAAAGTCATTGCATTTTGAGCCTCACTTCAAGTTGAAAAGAGTATCAGAGGTAAAGGACACTTCACTGAACTGAACAGTTAAAAGACAAAAGAACAGATCTTCCAAAGTACTTCCAAATTTAAGGTGTTTAACTTTATAAACAGCTAGTTGAAAATTCAATTTGCTGGCCTACACAAAATTGTCAAAACTCTTGCAGCTATATTTTTTGAAATGTGATTGAGATGAAAGATGTAAGTACCACATTCTGCAGCATAAAACTTTCCAACACTTCCCTGCAATGACTCCTGAGATAGGTGAAGAACTGTTTTTAAGTTTGTAGTTTGTTTAAAGATAAATTGCTAGACCTAAAAGATGTCTATAGTCTAGCTAAGTTTTTGATTGTTGAAAATCATTTATTGGTCAGTAGATTTCTTGATATGTACAAAGCCTACAAAAATTTCTTTTGATAATTCCAGTTTCAGTTGCCAGTTGTGAATGTCCTTTTTCTACATTGAAAATTATTAAAATGTATCTGGAAAACTGTCCAAAAAGCTTTCCAACCTGGCTCTGATATCCATTGAGCAAGATTATGCAAAGAAACTAGTATTATCTTAGAATCTTCCAAAAAGAAAGCTTGAAGATATGTGTAGCTTATAACTAAAAAATTACAAAAGTAATAAGTGAGCATAAAGTTATTCCAGTATCCAATAAAATTTAAAAAATTAAATATTAAATAAAATTTACAGAAAATGATGATAAATTATTGTAAATTTTAAAATAAAACAGGTATTTCAATTTCCACCTGGTCTACAACAAATTACCTGGGAAATATTGATAGTAGCAGTGCATGAAAATTTATTCTTAGATTTCTTATCTTATATGGGGATTCACTCATAATTGCCTCTAATTTGAAGTTACACCACTTGACAAGTTTGAGTTAGGTAATTTGAAAGTCGTTTGATTTGATGATGACAATGCTATTTGCAATGTGAAATCCATTCATTTAATAATTTGCAGATATTGATGAGTTCTATTTAATATTTTAGAAGGTAAATTCACTAGTATTTGTTGTCATTTTGAGAGTGATGCTATATTGAGGTTTGTTGCATCTGACTGATTTTCAACAAAAATATTCATTATGTTTGCATTATGAGTGGATTATATGTTGTAATATTGATAATATAATACTGTGTGTAAAAATTTATTTTATTAGTAATCATTTTCTTTTAGGATTTAAAAATGAAAAATAATTGATATAATTACTGGAATCATTAATATTACTTGGAAACAATAAATTAAACTTTGTAACCGTTAACAAAGCAAACTCAGATTTTATGCAGTTGTTAATGTATAAGCCATAAATTAAAAACAATACATTTTAATAAAAAAACAAAAATTTATGAAATAGTATATTTTTATTTAAGACAACATATTTACATATTTTTACAATTTATTAAAATATTGGATGATAAATAATAAAAAAAAAAAATACTCAATTTATTAATTTTAGCAAATAGAAAATGAAGAAAATGCTTGGAAAGAAGCTAATGAAGCTATGGAAAGGAAAGCACATTCATTGAATCAAGCAAATTCCATTACAGAAGAAGTTAAGTGAGTTTCTCTAATTTACATATAGTTGAATTTTTTTTTCTTATCTTAAAGATGAAATTTAAAATACTCCATTTTTAGAGAAAGAATAAGTAATATAAAAGGAATGATAAAAGAAGGCAGAAATTCCAAAATTACTTCAGAAAATCCATCTTTAATTGCAACAGAAGAACATATCAATAATTATCTTTGTCAGCTTGAGAAAACAGAGAAGGAGGTAAATAACATCAATGATATAACTTAAAATATTGAACTCAGAATTTTAGTTTACAAAATTTAATGATGTGTATTAAATGAATAGATATTTTTTAATAATTTAACATGTATACAAATATACAAGAAAAGTTTTTTAATCTTATTAACAATTGAATTATTTTTTATATGTTACTTTTATTATTTTAATGAAACTAAATTAATACATTTGTTAAAACTAGAATAATTTTCCAAAGTAATAGAAGTTTTATTTAAAAATTTTTTAAATAAAAAATTAATTCTATAAATTGCTATTAAAATAAATTGAGAATAAGTTAAAATTATTAATTTTGGTTTTGGATTTTTTTGATTTATGCTTGTTTAATCAAAAATATAAATATATTTGTATGTATTGTTTGTATATATAGATGCTTTTTGATAGTTTTTATATCATTGATCACTTGAACATTTAATTTTTTGTTCAAAATGTTTTCAGAAAACATAAGCCAATAGTTTGAATTAATTAAAATTAATATTTTATTATAACCAATATATATTAACCAATATTTATTATAACCAATTATTATAATGTGTCTTATTACAAATTTCTATACTACATGTGAAAAACAACGATGAGATTGGCATTGTATATTCATATATGCATATTTCCAATGGAAGCGCTGTATTGTCGAATATGAGATAGCTTCCACAGCCAAAATATTTGAATGGTGTAAAGTAGCCAGATTACAGGCATTTGTGCATGAGCATTACAGAGCACCAACTTTACATGATTTAGCTGGTGGATGCTACACACCAAAATATCTTAAAATGCTTCAAATGATTCTATCCAGGGCGGCACAGCTTCCCTATCATCAAATGTCACTGCACACCACTGTTGTATTGAATAATGGATACTTTTTTATGTAGCTTCTGTAATCTCAATTTATGCTTTTCATGTAGTTTGCAACATTGTCTTCCATTCAAAATGGTTCTGACCATGCTATTTTTGCAGATATGTGTAAACGTGATGTGTTCATACACTGAAATCAAAAGTATTATTGAAAATATTGTTTTTTCCCAAGAATATGGAGAAAAGTGATCACTATTGAAATGAACAATTTTTGGACTTTTTCAGTTTTGTGAATAGTATCTGTATAGAATAACATGTCTTGATGTAGCCACATGCATAAGATATTTTGGTGTGTAACCACATGCTTATGCATGTGGCTACACAAAGATAACAGACGAAAAGTGCAAAAACTGTACAAGGAATCTGATAATCTTGACACATACCTGTTGAAAGTAGAGTTTTGAAATTCTTTGTCATTAACTGAACTTGTTTTCTTTTAAAATCCAGATTTTATAGAATATTTATATAGGAGCAATTGAGAAATGCCTATGTTTTGTACCTTGGACAAGGAAATTTTTTGAAGAAAATCCTGACATTCTATGACACATGTGGTTTACAAATAAAGCCTAAATGTATTTTTTTAGCTAATAAACAAAATCATGGCTGTCAGGAAAGTGGAAATACTCAATTTTTGTTCTGACCACTCTACATACATAACACTTATCAGATTATTGGTCTTTTTTTCTTTGATGAGACTGTTAACTAGTGTGAGATCAGCCAGGACGTAATGTAGGTTACGCCACTTACAGGCACTAGTCGGTAAGACCAGTTCTCTTATTTTTTATAGGAAGGCATTAATCGCTAGTAGATCTGAACTGTGAAGTCCAGATGCTCGTCAGGGCTGACACCAGTTAATCAATCTTATTATACGCGGATTAACACGCGTAAGAGATCTTATTACGATTCAAATTAAGAGCCATATCTTATATAAAACAAACAAAAATAAATTTAATGATTCTATAAGTAAAACTAATACAAATATCAAGGAACGAGAGATATAACTACGACAATTGATATACACGATATGGGCATGGACTTATACTATACTGATGCGCGATCGAGAGAGAGAGCTCACAAAATCGTTATAAAACATACAACCTGTTTTAGTTGTCGTTCGTCGTCTTCTCTGTATGCAAGGGACACTTGGGAGATAAAGTTCATTTACTTCTTCGTATGGGAGATCAATATGTGCACAAAATCCAAGTATGTTTTCTAAGTGCTAACTCTGGAATTATTCCGTATGTGACTCGTCTAAGGACATTGGTCATCAGGAGGAAAACGTATGTGGAGTTTGGACGCTTCCAGATCTGTTGCTGAACTCCCCGAATTTGGACAAATTCCCTGTATATCTTCTGAATTTTGACCAATCATCGGCCAGTAACTCTTTCATGAGAACGGATGAAAGGGGAATGAATGAGGGGTCAACATTTCCCATTTGAGCAGGATTTTAACCAGATAAGGGAAAGTCAGAGGATGTTCTAACTTCTGTGAAAGGAAGTAACATTTGTTATCTGCCTTTTCCCACGTTAAAAGAGTATTTTTCTCACCAAAAATGAAGTAATATTTGGTGACAATATTTAACATAATTAATAAAAATTATTAATTTAGACCCAGGGGCCTTTCAGGTCTCACACTAGGATAATGCTGATGTAGATTGGAAAATTAATTTTTACCAGCATTGGGGAATACAGATGAAGAATGAAACCATTCTTCATCTGTATTTACGAATGCTGGTAATGCAAGGTGCATCAAAGTAATGTATGAAGTACTTACACTCATTGTCTCTGTCTTTGACATCAAGCTAATAAATGATGGGCAGAGCTAGGTGCATGACCTTGTTTAAGTGAAATGAAACAAAAATTAGTATTGAGAATGTCTTTTATGAAACCAGTCTTTCAAATAAGACTTTATGTGAATATTCTACTTAATTGTGTTAATAATGTTTAAAATAAATTTAACTTTAATTACTCAAAATAAAATTTATTTCACTTTATCTATAATGTATTAAATGAATAGATATTTTTTAATAATTTAACATATATATAAATTTGAAAGTGATTTTCAATAAAACTATGATGATAATTGCATATTCGTTGAATTTTTGTTCTAGTTTTTAACTTCGTTAATGGTGTATACATATGTATATTTTTTAAAATCTGTAGACTTTCTTGTTTCTTTTTAAATTTCTTTTTAATTATTTCATTTCCAGATTGTTTCAGCTCAAGCTGAATCAAATGTGGCTTCCCATTACAAAAATATGGTAGAAAAAGGAAAAGAACAATTTAAAAAAGAATTAGAAGCTATTGTCCCAAATGTCAAACTAGGAGAGAAAGGTAATGTAAAATAAAAATATATGGTTGATATTAGTTTTTATAAATAGTAAAACTTGCAAGTATCATCTGTCTATATGGAATAATTTAAATATCAAATTGAAATTTTAATATACAAGGTGGTAAAGAAAGTTACTTAACACTCCTGCTACAGAAATAGAATGTACCCAAAGTTAATTTGCTCATATCAAGAACACATTAGACCAGGGGGAAACAGATTGATGTGTGTTACACACACGACTGTCATCTTGAATGCAACTCTAAAATTTTAAATGGGAAGAGAATGGGGATGACACATTATTTAGGGTCAGAATTTCACAAGAAATTGATTGCTGGAAGAATTTTGACATATCTCAAACAATTACAGAGTTATTAATGTGTTTCCTTTGTTGTTACAAGTTGAAGAACAGACATCACAATGCCCCTAACACAGGAAGAATGCATCAAGATTGTCCTGATAGCAGAGAGAGAAGTTCCAGGGTAATTGCACAGGCCTGAATATTTCTTATCATGGACCAATCTCATCTCCCTGAATTTTTGGAGTAGGTTGGAAACTGCTATGTGTGACACAGGCACTGGCGTGGATGACATTGATTAAAATCCTGTGCAATCACTCTGGAACTTCTCTCCCCTGCCATCAGGACAATTTTGCTACATTTGCCATTTTTATAAAATAGTTTGGAAAGAAATTGAATATGATCAGTTTTAAAAGTGAAAAGTTGTTTATTTCAGCCACATTTTTTCATTTTTCAATATAATTGTCATTTGGAGTAATGCATTTTTCCAAATATTCAATCCATTTTTGTACTCCAGACACAAAAATATGTTCAGATTTTTCTTTGATCTCTTCCAATACAACATTTGATGAAAACTGTTGACTTTTCGGTTTTAATTTTGGGAACAATTAGAAGTGTGATAGTACAAATGATAGAAAGGTTTGTACACTTAAAAGAATGTATTGTTTAAGCTTTGAATGACATCGGTGCTACTTACAAATGAAATGAAGCAGAGTATTATAAAATTGTAGAGCTTCTTAATGTTTTATGACCAATACATTTAGCAGCTTATGCCTTAGGACAACAAGATGCAAATCTTGTCGTCTTTAGTCATCTTTAAAGCATTAAATAATAAATCTAAGTTTTTTGTTCTTCTGTTTGTACCCTCTAATAGTAAAAACTCCTATTTTAGTATCTTAGAGCTGGACGAAGTCACTTCTTCAGGTTCTTGGAGATATTTATATATTGATTTTTCCATACCATTTTTTAAAGCTGTGGCTTGATTTTTTTCTTCACAACTTTTTCATAATTGCAGTCATCTTTTATAGAATAATTCGGATATAATCTCAATATTTGTCCAGATAACTTAATAATATCAGATTTTGCAGTTAGTGGAAGAAATACGATAGACAACTTTGTCCAAACGTTCCATGGATTTTGCATCTTGTCATCCTATTTATTAACAAGTGAAGGCATATTTGAATTTCTGTTATGTGAATTGAAAAATTTGAAAACTGAAATTAGTTCAAAGTTGTTACATGTTGTTGAAGTATGAATTCAAGAGAGAAGACAAATGAGATTAGTAACACTTCTGCTTTATTTACAAAATCCACAGAACATTTGGACAAAGTTGTCTATCGTATTTCTTCCACTAACTGCAAAATCTGATATTATTAAGTTATCTGGAAAATATCGAGATTATATCCAAATTATTCTATAGAAGATGACTGCAATGATGAAAAAGTTGCAAAGAAAAAAATCAAGCCACAGCTTTAAAAAATGGTATGGAAAAATCAATATATAAATATCTTCAAGAACCTGAAGAAGTGACTTTGTCCAGCGCTAAGACACTAAAAAAGGAGTTTTTACTATTAGAGGGTACAAACAGAAGAACAAAAAACTTAGATTTATTATTTAATGCTTTAAAGATGACTAAAGACGACAAGATTTGCATCTTGTCATCCTAAGGCATCAGCTGCTAAATGTATTGGTCATAAAACATTAAGAAGCTCTACAATTTTATAATACTCTGCTTCATTTCATTTGTAAGTAGCATCGATGTCATTCAAAGCTAAAACAATACATTCTTTTAAGTGTACAAACCTTTCTATCATTTGTACTATCACACTTCTAATTGTTCCCAAAATTAAAACCGAAAAGTCAACAGTTTTCATCAAATGTTGTATTGGAAGAGATCAAAGAAAAATCTGAACATATTTTTGTGTCTGGAGTACAAAAATGGATTGAATATTTGGAAAAATGTATTACTCCAAATGTCAATTATATTGAAAAATGAATTAATGTGGCTGAAATAAACAATTTTTTACTTTTAAAACTGCTATTAATGTTGTTTTTTTAAAATATATCTGACAGTTTTAAAAAGTGGATAGTTTTAAACTATTTTCTGATTAATAAAAGCAGTTGATGATATAGAATCCTACTGAATTTCAATATTGCTCAATTGAATTCAATACAGCTGTATTGAAAACAGATTAGTGACATAGAAGAGTTTTTTGATTAAAAGCAATTACATGTGTTTATTAAGATGATTGTCCCTTTTCATTGGTTTAGTTTGAAAATAAACATTTAAAGTAACTACATATTGTTTTACGAATTTTTTTATAGCTGTGTACATTTTGATGCCATTATATTGGATTTTCCTAGATAAATTCTTCCATTGAATATTTTTTTTTATGAATGTGATTACAAAGAAAACAATTTCTGATTAGAATTCATAAAATCATCATATTCAAAGATGATGGTTTATTAATTAAGTTAATATATTGATGGTATTTTTAGATGAATACCAACATTCTATTAAAAAAGGGGGAGTGTATAACTGATTAAATGACTTTTAAATTTGAAAAATATTTCAGTTAATTTTAACTATCATTAAAAAATGTAATATTTTTGAAGTTATTCAAATAAAATATTAATAGATTTCAGACGAAAAGTTAGAACATCAAATATAAATGAGCGAGATATTGTTCATTGTTTGAAACACTTCTGTTTTATGTGTGTGCTTAAATGTATGCTATAATATTACAACATAAAATATATTGTGTCTACATCAATATCAAATATACGTTATATCCAAAAGAATGTGTTAAAATTAAACTGGTAAAATATATTTATAGAGATAAAATAGTAATTATTATTTTATATCTTAATGTTAATGTTAAAATTAATTTTATTGCTAACAATGTTAATCACTAAAGTAACAAGGTTTGTTTCAATGTAATCTTATAATAATAAACTATATCAAGCATAAAACTATGATGATAATTGCATATTCGTTGAANTTATAATAATAAAATCTAAATCAATATAATAATTTGAAGGTAACATAAGGGAGAAACTAACTATATCAAATAATTTATATTGATATTTTTATTATTATTATTAATCACATTCATTTTTACTTAAATAAAACAGTTATAAACAATATATTAGAACTTATCAAACACAAGCAACCAAATATTTAAACCATTTATCTAAATTTGGTTGCAATAAAATTCTATTATTGAAAATTACTTTTTATTAGCATAAATATTAACTAAAATACATTTCAGAACTTACATTCCCTCTTCAGTTAGTAATGTTGTTCACACAAAACCAGTCTATTTTTAAAAAATACATATGTACTTTTAATATACTTTTTACTCTACAAACTATTATTATGATTATTATTATTATTATTCTGGACTTATCAAACTTTCAATAACAAGGATGAATGAATTAATTTAGATAGACAGCTTTATTTTCCAGTATGCATTTAATCTCCTCGACTCCTCTTCAGCTGGCATCTGGCATTTATATAAAAATACACTAAAGCTGCTCATTCATAAAGAATACAATCATAGTTATTTTATCTTAAAATGCTAACTTTTTGCCAATTACTTCACCAAACCAAAATTAATAAAATCAAGACTTGAACTAGAATCCACACAATCTAACTTTAAAATTACTGCAAAAAACTGTAAAGGCACAAATACTTTGATTGTAGTCCAGTTTTTAACCTTCATTTTTAACTTGATAAATCCAGAAAAAATTCTTCTTCTTTATCGTCACCCTCCTCAGGTGGTGGTGACAAGGAAGAATTTTGCTCCTTAATTGTAAACTGCACCTCTATTCAGATGTCCTACCTAATGCCTTCTCTTGGTTATTATTGGTTCATTATCAAATGTTTGAAAAGTGTGGAATAATAAGTCTGTAGACTAACAAATATATTAAACAACATTATACCAAGAAAGCTTAGCATAATACATATATACATTGTTAAAGTAAAATAAATTCATTTAAATTACATTGGGTACATTTTAATTTCTTTTTGCTGTTTCCATTATCATCTTTTTTTAACAGTCACACAATTAATTTTAAAAATTTAGTTCCTATAATCTAACAATTTTTTCATATAAATTCTTATAAATTTTCATTGTTATTTAATCAATCATAAAGATATATTGCTTGCATTTTTATACTTCTCAATTATGGTTTTAAACTGATACATTTAAAATACAAATATACTTTAGAAAACTTTTTTAAAAATTCATCTAGTTTTTTTTCTTTATATCAAATTTTAATGATAATTTTAACTTTGAAAAGAATTTCAAGTTACAATCTTCAATATTTTATCTATATTATCTTTACTCTTTTTCAAAACTTATACACAATAATCACCACTTGTATTAATACAATTTCTTACGTTTTCAGTTAAATATATATGCTACCTGTCATCAATTTTAAAACCTTCATTATCATTAATTCTATTATTTTTTTTAGTTTAATTATTTTTAAATGCTTGTAAAATTTTTCTTTTTATAATTTTTAATAGCATTCTTAACAATTTCACATTCTTCAGGGTTACAATGGTGAGCCACCGCTGAACTTATATGATTGATAAAAAAAAATCATATATGTTCCTGAATTTGAATGTCTAATTGAATACTTGTATATTGTTTACAACTGTTTTGTTTATGTAAAAATGAATATGATAAATAATAATAATGTAAGGGCAAAAAGCTGAGATGATGATGATAATAAGTATACTTTTTTTTTATAGAACTTTTTATAGAATTTATTTTTTATTAATAGATAATAAATTGACAGAAGAAGAATTAAATTTCTTGATAGCTCATGCACATAGACGTGTTGAACAGTTGCAGAAACAAATTGCCAAACAACAGGTATTATAATTTTATCAATCATCATATATTAAAATATTATATTAATAAAAAATAATTTTGAAATAAAACTGTTTTACAATAATAATTTTTCTACGAATTATCAAGTTTATAAAATCATCATCAGTTATTTTCTTATGTGAAAATTACAAATTTCTCTTTAATTGCCACATTTATTGATATTCAGAATAAGTGGTTTCATTGATTTTTGTATATTAATTAATCAGTGAATTATCAATTCAATAATTATAATGAACTTTTTAATGTAGTTTACTTCAATTAACTGTAGTTTTTCTTTAGTAATACATAATACATTCAACATACATACAAGATTTTCTAAACAGTATTATCTTATTGTTAACCTATTAAAATATATTATTATTGTATAAAAGAGTAAAAAAAAAATCTAAATATATTTTATTTAAATAACAAAATATAAGAGAAATGAATATTACATAAATTTGAAAGCTGTGAAGCAAGGTAAAAATTTGAAAGAAATAAATTTTTCCTTCTTGAAATTTTCTGCAAAATATCTTTAGCTGAAAATGAATTTAGCTTCTTATATCTGTTATGATTCTACTTTTTACTGAATTTAAATTGATCCATTGAATCTTCTATCAGAGGATGTTTGTGTTTTAAAGATAGATTAATTACAATATAAAGGTTTTATTGTCAAATTATTGTTTTTGCATATGTTGCAGCTAATAATATAAACAGATAATAAACACAATAGCAATTAATAATTTAAACATACTTATTATATTTGTTTATAGTATTCTTTAATTCATTATCTTTCAGTAATTTAATATTTTTACATAATTATAAATTTAACATAATTTGAATACACAAAGCTACTTAACATTAAAAATATTAACAAGGATGGATGATGTATATTCACTTTTCAAAAATAGTGGCAATGTTAAATTTGAGAAGTTTTAGTTAAGAAATTCATTATCTGTGTTTTTAAAAAAAATTTATTTTCTTTTCTCAGGTTTTAGAATATGAGCACGTTCAAGATGCATTAAAGCAACAAAAAGAAGAATATGAGAAAGTTGTAAATTCTACGATAAGTTCAGAACTATCCAGACAACAGAGAGAATTAGAAATAGAATTTAAAAAAAGTGTAAGGTTTGATTTTTACAAAATATTCTGTTTTTGATTTTAACTTTTATAGGATTTAATTTTTAAAATTTGAACGACAATTCTAATTAACCCCCTCTTAATCACTGTTGCATCCCATATATTCAAATGCAGTGAATTCTTTTTTTGGCTTTGACATAAGTCATCTGTTTGTTGCAAAAAACGCTCTAGAAATATTTATTTTATCATATGATGCATTTACTGTCATTAAATGTTTATCTAACTATTTCTCCAAAGATGGCATTATGTTACAAAAATTATTTTGTCATTTTTGGTGGGAAAATGTAGTTTAATTTTGGAATCTGATAGTGACTATGTAAATTGTTTTTGGTAGTTTTTTGTTTTTTTAGATAAATAAATAAAATTATTATTTATTATATTATTTTTAGACAAAAAACACATGTAAGTGGTAATTTTTTGCAAATTACTTCCTAAATATTAATTATACATCAAATATTAATGAAAAAAATTGACAGGTTTTAGATGGTAACCCTGAAAAAAATTTGACTGAGAACAGGTTAAAGACAGATTATTCTGATATTGTTTATATAATAATAAAAGTTTTTGTGAAATTTAAAAATTCACAAAAACACAAAATTGCTTTATTGGAACATCCATTCTTTGTCCAAACTTAACTTTTACTTAGTTGACAATTGGCATTTGCTTCCACCTTCCATATAAATTTCTAAGCATTTTCAAGCATTACCTTTTTAGAGTGAATTAGCCACAGCCAACAAATAATTATTTTCTCATATTTCTGAGGAAAGTTTACAAAAGCATAATTTTGCAGAATTTACATATTTATGAATACATTGTGTTTCACCAGTAAACCTTCTGTTCTATTTATTACTACTGTTTGTTATATTGTTTTGACTGTTGATTAGAGTTTTGATACTTATAAATGTGAATAACTATTAATTCATATTCTATAATAGGAAGTTTTAATTGTCAGAAATGATATTTGAAATTGATAATACAGTAGAGCGTCGTTTATCCGAATCATTTGGGGACTGGGGTTGTTCGGATAACTTATTTTTCGGATAACCAATTATGTACGAAAAAATATATTAATTTATCCCGTGTTGAAATTTTTCTCCGTNTACAACTAAAATAACTCATAAACTGATTATTGATCATGTTTTTATAAATACAGCTATTAGAAGTTGTCAGTTAAACTAAATTTGAAAGAAAAAACGGATACATATTGCAATTCATAATCCAAAAGAAAAATTTTGTTTTATATATTTCAATCTTCTGAGGAATGTTGTGTGTATTTGAAATATCAGCTTGATAGCAATACAACAGAAAATACATGTTTCTTCAGCCATATTTTGATACATTTTTGCATTTTCTCTAAAAAGGATTTCCTTCAAAACTAATTAATTTAGCTTGTAAAGTAATGCAAAACTGAATAACAATTTTAAAATTATTCAAAGTACTATATTATCATCCACTCTGGACATTATTGCAACTAGGATTTGTTATACCAAGGGTAATGTCATCGTGGATGGAAGCATACTATATGCTTCTTGTCCTTACATTATTTAAAAAACATTGAATATACAGTAAAAGAATATTTGTAATTAATATAGTTGTTTATAATACTTCTTAAACTTCTATTCCATTGATGTCAGATTTATAGATATTAAATGGTATAATGGAGAATTTTATATGGTTTAAAAACAATTCAAATCATTTCATATTAAGAAAACATAAGAAAACAAAATGATCTGTAACATTTATGTTTTTATTTCCATCATTTGTTAAAAAGTAAGTTAATTCATATCTCCAAGCCTCTAGTTCAGGGGTGGCCAACAGTTTTTGCCCCCGGGCTGGATTGGAATGAAAACTTTTTCCACGGGAAGAAACTAGAAAGATTCCGCCCTAGAAGATTTTGTGGTGGTGCAAGATCTCATTGTGTTGTCACCCTGTAGAGACTGAATTTTAGATAGAGATTACAGATACATTTTTCACATTATCATGCTTTATCAACACTCTATGCTGTACTTAAGAGATTTGTAATGGAGAGTTAACTTTAAATGCACAGTAAGTAGTTGACCTTTTTTTTTTCTTTTTTTAGGTGTCAGAATTTTTCATTGAGCTATTCGGACTTCAATACCTAATATTGAAAGATTGGTCGCGGGCCACATAAATTCATTAGATGGGCCTGGTCTGGCCCTCAGGCCATATGTTGGCCATGGCTGCTCTAGTTCCTGAATAGATAATATTCAAAATATCTTTTCAGCATACGAAAATATATATTATGGAGCCTTTTAAATATAAACAGAAGAATAATTTGTGGGTCCAGTTTCATAAACTAAAGGGCATAAAAAAAAGTTGTTTTGTTTGAATCAGTGACATATTCCAAAATAAAAAAAAAATTTGTCTAAATTCTCAATTAAATACCAGTACATATTTGAAAATATATCAACAATATTAACCTTTGTGTAATTTAGTAAAAGAAAAGTATTTGATTATAATAAAATGAAAACACTTTTTAATATAATTATACAAATACATATTAAAGTATATTTTATAAACTTTTTGCTTTATTAGTAATATTACTGATAAATCTGTAAATATAAAGTATTGAATTTTTTAGTGCAAAGAAAGTGCTTGTTTGTTTTGTAACAGTTATAATATGAAAAACAGTTTGCAGAATACAAATCATGTACAGTACAATCTTGTAACAAAATCAATTGGATAAAAAAGTTTGACTATTTTTGTGTTAAGCAAGTAGCATTTTTATCTTTCTGTTGTATGTTACCATTAAGTTATGAAATTTATTTTTATGATGATGAACCAGTTATCAAATAACTTATTAATTTAATATTTGTAGGCAAGTGATTTGAAAGATGAATTTGAAAATGAATTAAGACAACAGTTAAGAAGACAAGCAGCTGCTCATAGTGATCATTTGCAAGAGGTGGTTCAAATACAGCAAAAACATTTTGAACGAAAACTAGAAGCAGCTCTTGAGGAGAAGATTGTTGAAGAAAGAAACAGATTTCAAAGTCTCTTAGAGACATCATTTACAAAATTAAATGGTATTGAAGATGGATTAAAAAGTAAGTAATTATTTTAAATTTTTTAAAAACTTTTTATTAGCATATTTTTATTTACTTTGCTCACAATGAGTGTTTGTTTATTTATGTAAATCATTTTTACAAATTAAAATTTTAAAATAACTAGAATCAGGAAACTTTGAATTAAACATTTGTTCATATTTAAATTGTATCTATACATTGAGAAAATGCTTATATTTATTCTGAACTTTTAAAATATTACAATTGATGATTATTCTGTGCTTGTTTTCATCTCCTTACATGTCTGTCACAGTAACAGACCATAGTACAAGTGTATTTTATGTCATCCTGGATTTTTGAATATATTTCTCATGAAATGTCTATCTAATAGATATTAAAAACTTTGCTAGGGTGTTAATGGAACAATTTATATTCATTCCATTTTTTGATCAAATAACATATTCTGAATAAGGAATTTCATCAATATATTTGAAGCACTTTATAAATTACCTTCAGAAGTGTTTGCTGATTTAATATAAATTCCAAATATTCTGTACAGTTGAGATTTTCCGTGCTTTTATTAAGTAATGTTGTTCTAGGATATGTCTAATTCTAATTTAAAAATTTTGATTTGAATGATTCTTTCATAATTATAACTTTCTCTTCTAATCTTATTTATAGTTAATTAAACAGTTACTCATTTTTAAAAAAATTTCTTTATTTTTAACTTATATTTGTAGGAAGAGAAGACTTAGATAAAGCAGCTAAAAAAGCTCAAGAATTGTGGTTGGCTTGCCAGTCACTCAAAGAATCCATCCGAAATGGTCACCCCGAAATCAGGCCTTTGTTATCTGCTGTGGAAGCTATTCGTAGTTCCATTAATTCAAAGGATAAATTTATCTTGACCATCCTCAACAGTATTCCCAAGCTTGCTCTTACCAGAGGTGTTTACACAGAAGAAGCTCTGAAAGAACGCTTCAGGCAAGTGGACAGGATTTGCCGCAGAGTAGCCTTAATTGATGACGATCACCGTAGAATAAACTATTTTAACTAATTAATGTTTCTCTATTAAATAATTAATTCTAATTTCCACTAATTGTTATTTAAATATTTACATTATTTAAAAAACATTGAATATACAGTAAAAGAATATTTGTAATTAATATAGTTGTTTATAATACTTCTTAAACTTCTATTCCATTGATGNCCATTAATTCAAAGGATAAATTTATCTTGACCATCCTCAACAGTATTCCCAAGCTTGCTCTTACCAGAGGTGTTTACACAGAAGAAGCTCTGAAAGAACGCTTCAGGCAAGTGGACAGGATTTGCCGCAGAGTAGCCTTAATTGATGACGATCACCGTAGTCTATATCATTATTTCCTTTCTTATTTTCAATCATTTTTAATAATACACAAAAAAATACCTAATGACGAGTTAATGAATAAGAGTGCAGTGGACCCTGACAAATGGGATACATTTGATATTTTGCAACGTATTGACCAAAGTATTATTTTGGAAGATCTTCAACAGGCACTCAGATATGCCAATCAGTTAACGGGAGAACCAAAAAATGTAGCAAAGAGTTGGATTAATGAGGTAATTTTACTTTTGGAAACAAAACAGGCCATAAATGCACTATTAGCCCATGCTGCTGCCATTAGCATTCAATCTTATAGTTAAAAAGGAATTTAGTCTTTAAATTGTAATAATTTAATCCTGAAGATTGATGATAGTTGAAAGGAAAAGTACTTTGTAAAATATACTATATATTTTTTTTTTCTTGAAAGAAAATAGAATTAAACTTGTTTTATAAATCCTGTTGATTTTAACATGTCTTAATGATGTTGAATGAATTTTATCTTTTGTTAAAATTATTTTAAAAAATTTTAATTCTGAAATTTTTTCATTTAGTTTTCCATAATTCTATTGCTTTCATTGGAGGATCTTAAAGAGACTAACTAATATTATCTGCTTAAAAACTGTTACTATATTATGTGAGAATTATCTGAATCATTTTAGTTGAAATTGTCAATTATTTAACGATGACAAATTAAGATGCAAATTATATAATTAATGCTACAACTAAAATAACTCATAAACTGATTATTGATCATGTTTTTATAAATACAGCTATTAGAAGTTGTCAGTTAAACTAAATTTGAAAGAAAAAACGGATACATATTGCAATTCATAATCCAAAAGAAAAATTTTGTTTTATATATTTCAATCTTCTGAGGAATGTTGTGTGTATTTGAAATATCAGCTTGATAGCAATACAACAGAAAATACATGTTTCTTCAGCCATATTTTGATACATTTTTGCATTTTCTCTAAAAAGGATTTCCTTCAAAACTAATTAATTTAGCTTGTAAAGTAATGCAAAACTGAATAACAATTTTAAAATTATTCAAAGTACTATATTATCATCCACTCTGGACATTATTGCAACTAGGATTTGTTATACCAAGGGTAATGTCATCGTGGATGGAAGCATACTATATGCTTCTTGTCCTTACATTATTTAAAATACTTTTATGTAATTCTCAAAATATGCAATGTCTACTAGGACAGATCGTATTATTTGGATTATTATACCGGTGTCCAAGTCCTGCAAAATGAGGAAACGTATCCAGAAAAAGGAAAAATCTTTATTGTTTGCCTGTTTAACCTGTACACACTTCCCTTTGCCTGGACCATTATGGAAGGGAAGTGATGGATATGTTGGTTTTAAGAAAAAAAAGGGAATGTGAAAACATATTCTTTATTAAAACCAACATGTCCATCACTTCCCTTCCATAATGGTCCAGGCAAAGGGAAGTGTGTGTACAGGTTAAACAGGCAAACAAAGATTTTTCCTTTTTCTGGATACGTTTCCTCATTTTGCAGGACTTGGACACCGGTATAATAAGTCCTAATAATACGATCTGTCCTAGTAGAGATTTAAATAATAAAATTGTATAACAAGGGAGAAAGGCTTAAGAATTAATATGCAAAGTACTGTTTAAGAGCTTAAACCTTGAATAATGAGTTGATATAAACATCAACATTTATTTTATTATTTATAACAAAATATTTGTACAGATATATATTTTTAAAAAACAATTACATTTTTTTAAAACCATACTGAATAATTGTTAACAATAATAATAAATATAAAATACAGTAATTCCACTTTTATTACATCATAAATCCAGATTATATATATCAAATAGTAAAACTGATTAAAAAGTTTCTTACATTTTTCTGAATTAGTTTGATTGTCATTATTTGATTTGTATTCAGAGGACCACAACACATGGGGGAAAAGGGGTACAAAGTTAAGAGAACAGCTTTGAAAATGTATAAAAGAAGCCAAAATTACATTAACTGATCCAACATCTGATTCTTTTTAATATATTTGTACAGTAGTATTACCAAATCATCTCTGTTTAACTACTTTGGCATCAACTTTTGATATGAGGCTTAATATTGAATATGCATGTTCAATATTATGCCAATGTATTCTATTCTATTCACAAAGAAAGTTTTCTTAATGATTGGTGTCAAAGCAAGGCACCAGCAAATAAGGCAACTCGACAGTCACATTTTCTCCAGTGTGGTTGCCGGGTGATTGAGATTAACCAAAATTATGGTGCCGTTTTGTGAGTCGTGATTGAATTTGATCCATACAGTGACTGGCTACTTATGCATTAGCACAGATATAATAATGCATATTGTATTTATTTAAATGGGAGTTTTACTTCCAATTTAGAGTCTGGTAGGAAAGTGGGTAATTTTAAATATTTTTGTAGTTTGAAAGACTTTTATATATAGATTATTAACATACATGAAAATAATATAATTTGCAAATGAAGGTGACTTGCATGATATTGTATGAAATCTTGTATACAAAAATTTCTAAACAGACCAATTCTTTAAAATATATCATTTTTCTCCTACACACTATATATTGAATGATTATTGGCTTAAATGTAGTAGTAATATAGCAGAGAATTTGCTGATTTCTAAATACAGCTGTCCCTTGATAATCCGACAGGTATGGGACCAAAGGGGTGTCGGATTACCGAAAGTGATTACACATTTGGCATTGTTTTGCTAGCAGTAGCCTGCGATATTCCCTATTCCAACTGTTCGAACAGAACTGCTCACGGAAAACACACGAAATGTGTGTCATCGTGTAAGAATTGGGTGGGGAGATTCACGTCGCAACATGCTTCTGTGCAAGCAGACACGTAACGGGGATGGGTACCTTGATGGGAGGTGAGTCTGACTATCAAGGGACAGCTGCACTTCAATAATAGGCATAGAAATTTATACCTGTGGGAATAAATTGAAAATCTATAATGAACATGACAAATTAGAACAATTCAGTTAGAAATGAACTATGATCTAAAATAATAATACACAAAAATACCTGGAAGAAACTAGGTCTTCACATCTCCATGTTCTTCCACGTAATTTTACGTGTAAAATAACAACATTCTTCATGCTAATTTTCTTCTTTGTTTTAATTTTTTCAAATTAACTGTACAAATATCAAGTTAAAATTCTTTTGAAATCCAGCAAAGATTGATCTGTTTCTTCAATGAAAGGAATTTCATTCTGGAAACACTTACTACAAGCTTTTTTGCTTAGAATTTAGACATGAAACATACATTGATCTGTGATTCATATATAAAAAAAAACTACTAGTAGTACTTGAAAACATACAATAAATATTTTATTTCTTAGTTAATTAACAGAATAAACAGTTATGAGCAGTTGTAATATGAAAAACAAAAAATAATACCAGTATATTTACAACTATATTTGTTACAATTCTGTCTAATTTCTTGAATAACTTAAGATTTCTGAAATGATTTTCACAAAAATAGCACTGATTATTCATCACTTGGATATGGACAGAATGTTATCTCTGTAGTAATAAAATACTTTTCTATAATCTCAACTATTTTTTTTATAAAAAACTTATATTTTCAATTTCTATGTAAAGAGTGGATAACATCTTATTGTAAATAACAATCTAACTATTAAAATATATTTATATAATATAATCCAAGTAATGAATTGTTAACTCTTTCAATTTTTATAGTTTTCTTGAAGTAAAATTATTAACAATATAAAAAATTTAATACAAAATTTTCTAAATTGTAAAAATACATATGACACAACCTGTAGTTTTTATTAAAAAAAATCAGAAAATGCTTAGGAGCTTTTATGCAAAAAATGAAGCTTCAAGGATTTATTTTCTGTTGCTTGAATTTTTGCAAGCATATCATTTAGATTTATTACAACATATGGTTAATCTAGTAAAGAAGCATTTTGTCACATACTTGTTTAAAGCTAGGGAAGAGAAAATTGTTCTTTTTGGCAGCCATCACCAGCTTTGAATATTGTTCTTGTTACATTAATTGCTATCCCAACGATGGCTGCAAGAAAAACTATTTCTTTAGAAAACAAAATTCTGCTTCTTTATTCCTAGGTAATAGAAAATAAATCCCTGAAGATATTTTTGTATAACACAGAATACCAAACGACAGTTAAATTCTGTTCTGTGCAGACCTTGCAAAGAAAGCCACGAAACATCTTGAATGAAATTTTTTAATTTCAATTTTATAGTTCGTGACTACGCTTTAGATAAAATTATTATACCTTTTTCACACCTTTTTATTTCTATAATTTAAATCTCAAATAAAAAATAGTGTTTACACTTAAAATTTCATATATATATAATGAATATTAAAAGATTATAATCATTGCACAATCTTACACAAATATATTTCAAAATGACTACATGTTCAAAAATATACATAACAATTCATATAATGCATAAACAAAAACCAAATTCGAATGACTAGATATTTTTGTTTAATGAAAACATCAAAATATCTTTGTGTTCAGCTGTGTTTCCAATGTTAAAAAGTAAGTTTCATATTTTTCTGAATTTTTACACGTTTTAGTCGATTCGTTTACTTCTCTATAGTCGTGCAGAGAATCGTTTTGCCGACCGTTTCGCCCCGAAGAGTTAATAAAATAGGTTCTTTCTGGTGAAATGTTATGAGATCTACTACGGATACAAAAGCCTGGAAAAAAATTTTACATTAGTAACATAAAATGAATTCCATTTGGTCAAGTAATTATGTAGTAATATTGGAAAGTGATGCCAACTGTTGCATTCAAAATAAACATATCGTTCACTGAAATTTTATGTAAATATGATTTAAAGCAGATATCAAGTAAGAGAATAAACAGTAGCTATTAATACATGCTGCATTTTATTGGAATCTCTTCTAAGTATACGAAACAGGCTATTAATTAATTTTGTGTTATTTCAAATAATAAATATGGATAATATGTTATGCATTAAGCTAAAGGCTATTTTATTCATATTTGTAATATGTCATAGATTTCAGAATCTCAAATTCATCAAGCAATATAATGCAACTTCAGCAGCTAAACTTGAAGGTGGCATTTTAAGTAAACTAAAAAATTAAATCACCATAAATATTTATCAGCAATTGTTTTATAAAAAAAAAACATAAATTAATCATTTATTTTAAATTTGAAAATAAGGTATGAACAAAACCAATGTATTAAGGTGTTACTGTATTAATTATCATCAAATAATAATGAGAAGGATAAACTTTCAGTGATATCTTGAATAATGCATTGCAAATAGCATTTCCTGCAAGTTAAGAATTTTTTCAGACACAAAGAATAATCATAAAATATTTCAAATGTTAAAATCAATCCACTTATATACTATAAGCATGTAGAATGTACAATTTCATGTCAATGTTGGTGAAAATTAATACAGTAGACCCCCCTATAACGCTTAGATACGTTCCACGCTAAGCGAATGTTACGTTATATGAATGATTAAATACATGAGCCAATCGCAGCCCGATAGGTGGGAACTTTACGGACTAAGGCTGTTCGAAAGGTTTTCTTCTATAAAATTAACCGATTCTAGACTAATTCCACTCAACATTTCCAAAACACGTATAATTTTTTGGGAGTAATCCGTACAAACTATGCTATAAACAAAAAATTATAGGATTACTTACCGAGTTTGTACCGTTCGACTACGCCGTTGCTTAAAGCTGGTTTTCATCGCGGAACAGCACACGAAACGACGGCCGCAATTTCTGATAACGAATTTTTGGCGGAAAAATAACTTGACCTTTGGAGACATCATTAATATAAATAATTTTTATGGCCGTTGAATAAGAAGTGTTTCTTTCACAAGAAATGTATAAAATTAGTGCTGTATTAGACTTACGGTACCTAATTTACATACTGTACAGACGATAATAAACTCAACTTACTAGCCTAAAATCTCCGTAGCGTGTTGCCAGGCGGCAGAAAGCATATATATAATTATAATAAAGTTACAATAAATTAAGTTAATATATAATTATATATACAGTACCTAATTTATATATAATTAATATATAATTATATGTACAGTACCTAATTTATATATAATTTATATATAATACTAAACAGACGATAGCAAACTCAATTTAGCCGCTCCGTAGCGTGGCGCAGGGTCGGAGGAAAGTAGTTCGGCTGCTCATCCACTATTGGTCCAGACTCTATCAATCTTGTCGCGAAACGACGTTATGGGAGGTATGTTATACGACAGTTTCTACAATTTTTTCGCTACGTTATAGGAATTGTCGTTATTGGAACGTACGTTATAGGGGGGTCGACTGTATTCAAAAGTAGATTCATTAAAATATTCTTCACTAGGCATTCATTGAATGATAATTACATTAACTAGCCTTGAAGAAATTGATTTTAATTGTTCAAAAAAATCAAGGTTATCTAAGCAAAAATTTCATCAACTTGAATTGCATTAATAATCTTCAAGAATGACTTTATGGAATTGATTTTTAACTATTACGATGCTAATTTTCTAATTTTATTTTTACATTAATAGAGAGACGAGAGACCATTTTACATTAAAATTTAAAGTATGAAATTACAAAAATTAAGCTTGTCAATATCAAATTTGACAACTGCTATAATACAAATCTGTCCTTAGTGATTCTGTATTATAACACTAAGGGTTTAACAAGCATCTAACTCTGGTTTTCATTAAAAGTTTTTCGCATTAATCTATTTCTTATTAAATTGATGACAATTATTGACATAGAAGAGAAATGGAGAATGATGTTATCCATGATAAATATATTTTGCCTTCTGAATTGCCTAATTTAAATTTTGGCTATATATGAATCCAACTGCAAATGATTTCTGTGTGTATCATCAATAATTTTTCCTTCATCTTATATATTTACCAAAAACAAATTGTCATATAAAACTAATGGCTAAAATGGTGTAAATTGTATAACACAAATTAAACCATATCTTATCTTTCCTCAGATAAAAATCATAAAATAACAGTGCCATGATAACTAATATAAAATAAATTAACTTTTAGAGAGGACCATTACTGGCTTTCTGGTGGTTAAAAACATTAAGTATATAATAGAAAAAAAAAAGCTTTTTGACAGAGAAAGACCAGCAAAAGTTGTTTTACATTTTTTTAAATGATGTAATTTAACTTTATAAAAAATCTTTGATGAGCAACAACAATCATCTGCTATATTATATTTTGTTAAGTAGCATTGTTTAATGTTTAATGTTTAATCAATGTAATGAATGAAGGCATGTTAATGAGAACTAATCAGACTGCTTTGATGGAGCAAAACTAATATCATTCAATTGTTGATGTCAACTTATTTGAAATAGCCTTTAACCTAATTAATGCCTTACCAAGACCATCTGGATAAACAACATTATTTTATATTGCCATGAATGAGGTAACTATTAAGTAAACATTAAAATTATTGTCTGCAAATGTATTTTACAGAAATTTGATTTATATATACCTTTTCTCTTGGCTTTTCCCTTCCCAAGGAAAACATTCCATCTGGCCTATGACGGATATTTAGATGAAAAATTTTACCACAGTGAGAAACGGTTAAAGTGAAAGGATTACTGAGTCCTGCTCTTTTACTCGGTCGTACTACATATACTCCATCTTCTGATAAGTTTGAAACTCTCTCTTCGGCTACTTCTCTCTCAATGTTATGAAACCAAGGGTACTAAAGAACATTTAAACATTTCATATTAGAAAACAGTTATACTAATTAACAAGGAAAGATCATATCATGCTATATTTACTAATTTTTCTTGTATAAAAAGACACTCAAATCAATCAAAATAATAGGACAATATAGATGGCTGAGCCTGTGTGTTATGTCTCGTAATGATGATTTTCATAAATTTATGGCTTATTAATTAAAAAGACTTTAAACAAACAAACAAACACAAATAGAGAGAGGGAGACAATTACTGGCCTTCTTTGGAGTGTGTTTCAAAAACATGCTGAAAAACTTCAGGGAGTTATAAAGGACACCAAAACAATCACTTTTTCTTAATAAACCATGTCCACAAATGATCTTTGGCAACAGAGCAAATTATTTGAATTTACAGAGAGTGCTCAAAACAGTGACCACGTACTTCAATACAGAGATTGCATTGTTGGTTAATGGTTTCATGGAACCTATGGAATATTCCTGGAATAGCTTGCACATGTATGCAACAAGCAATGACTCGTCAGATGATCTTGATGGCTTCTTGGAGTACCACTCTTTGTATAAGCATGCAGCTTTTAGTCCATTATATACAAGATAAACAAGATGCATCTTGGCTAGTTCTTCAAAAGAATAATTATTATCCATTTTGAATACATAAATGAGTAACAAACAAAAGTTGAAGGTACTGAGGTTGCCAATTGATATTTTCAAAAAGGTGGTTTTTTACTAACTTTCATTAGGATAATGGAACTTTGTTATGTTGTGATAACAAAACATTAATAAAAAGGCAATAAAACAAAAAAAAATGCTTGTATTCTCACTGGCAGCCAGTGTGAAATGATTTTAAATTAAAACTTTAATTTGCTCTATTGCCAAAATGAATCATTTGCAAACATGAGTTTAAAGTGATTGACAAACATAGAGGAAACCAAAACAATGTTTTTGAAATACCTTGAATATATTTCTTGATAATTCTACATTTTTAGCATAAATATAATTAATAAATTCATAGTAATCTGACTAAATAAACTTCATTTTACATCATTTTAGTTATGAAGGATTTATATACAAGTGTACTTTTAATCCTTGGATTTAAGTTAATGCAGTTTATTAATAGAGAGGTTGCGGCCGTCATATTCAGCCCAAACTGTGAATGGCGGACCGTCGAGTGCTGCCATCTGGCAATTCTGGATGGTCGATAATGGTGTTGGCTACGTCTAGCATGGCAGGTAGAAGATCGGTTTAAACTTCTTTATTTTAATAAAATAGGTCATAATTTTAACTCCAAACACAAAAAAATGATGATTATTTAAGCATTTACGAATAATATTGTAAAAAAAACAGATGATTTTAATCCAGAAATTATTTAATTATTCAATTTTTTAGCAAGTGATGCGAAGTGCCTATAGAATTTACATATATTTGCCTTCATAATAGCTTATCTTAAGGTAGGTTTGTTCTTCCAAGGCATCTACCATCAACAGTGTAATACGTGTGTAAATTTTCTAAAAATTAATTTTTTGAGCTGATTTCAAATTTACATAAACCACTACTTCCCTCGACAAAAGTATGAGGTAGTCCTATGATCGGACTATCGTCCGATTGTATGGTAGGAGACACAACGCTAATTAAAAATAATTATTTAGTGTTATTAAACATCCTATAAATACTTTAAAATAGTTTAATTTGTTTGTTTATCTTCGCTGGTAACCCTCGATGTTAAATGTAGCCACCATTTTTTCAACAAATTTCCCGTGAGTCAATGCGCGACGTTCACCGAGTCACGTGATGTTGTGAACGTGCACCACAACGATTTTTTCTTGGAGTTAAAATGTAAACCGTGTACTTCTGCTTGCCGTGTACAAGTAACAAGCTGCAACCTCTCTGATCATGGGCAATTATTTAGTAAGTGCCATTTTTCAGTATAACATTTTAATATATATTTAAGTTATGAAAGTAAAAATATGCTAAATAAACTATTTGATTATGGAGAGTCTACTTACCATACTTTCACTACTTTCAAAGAGTAAATCTACTATCTTAACCAAGAACTATATGTACTGTATGTATGTATATATATACACAGGGTGTTCATAATTAAAGTTCACATTTCAAAAAGATATAGTTTTCAAATAAAATTCTATTACCACAGAAGTTTCCATGTAAAGTATAAAGTCATTTTGCAGATTAGTTTCTGAATTATATTTTTTTGAAATGTGAAGTTTAATTATGAACATCCTGCATATTAAAATTATACTACAGGTCTAGAAATAAACATGTTACATTAAACAGTATGTACTGTACATAAGACAAAGAGAAATGTAATGAAATGATAAAAACTAAACAATACCCCATTTAAAGCTTGTATAGGTACAGGAGGAAGTGGTCTGTTTGCCACATTTAATCCTATTTGAAAAAGTAATAGAATTATTATTTTTACAATTTAGATTTTAAATTATCAGTTTTTTAAAATTACTGAAAAATAATCTTACCTGCATCATCAACCGGTTGGGGAGATGTTTTCGGGAAGCCGACTTGCGAGATTTTCCTTACTTCTAAAGAACTTGTAGAATTCCGAGGAGAACTACTTGGACTGCTTTCTGCAGCTGAAAAATAAATGAATGCATACTGTTAAAAGATACATAAATGAATTAATTCATTTATGTAAATGAATTTATAAGCATTAAAGAATTTTTTCTTCAATTATTGGGAAAAATTGACAAAAATTTTATAATCAAATTATTCTTTTACAAGATTTCATTCATATATATTTTTGCGTTATGAAATACAAAAGTTTAAGATATCATGAAATACATTTTAAATTCAGACTATTTTTTTTAATAAATATATATTAGACAGTACATAATATATGTATATTAGTAGAGTTATATTGGAAGTTTGTACTATTAACACAATAAAAGTTAAAAATCCCAAACATTTATAGAAGACCACCTTCAAAGTAAGTTGAAGGAAATTACTTTGCCAAATGTGCTTACTTTACTTTGTTTTTAATAAGTACTACAAGCATTTGGCAGAATATAAGTCGATCTTGAAACACATCCTTAAGTGTAACTGTCACAGAATTGTTGACCTCTTCTGCTGATTTGAACCAGCAACCTCTTCAGTATAGTTTTCATTTTAATGAAGACATGAACGTCAGAAAAAGGTACAGAAGACTGGAAGTACAGATATCTAGTGTTTTGACAGATATTCACTAACCAGAATGAAATGATGGAGAATCCAGCATTTTGTTTTCCGGAGATGAAATCATTTTCATATTACTGTTCAATCAAGAATATCAATGTAGGATTTCATGTTAATGGGCTTACTATCAGAAAAACTCGTAGCAAGCTTTCAGATCAAAAAGTACTCAAGAATATAACCAAAATGGGCTGCAAGAGTGTTATAATAAGTGGTACAAACATTGAAAGTAGTGTATAGCTGCAGAAGATACTTATTTTGCAGGTGATCATCTTTTAACATAAATTGTATTATATTGTTAGTAAAGGTATTTAAAGTTTGGTTTATATTTGACTATTATGTATATTAGTCTTAATTAACGTCATCAATCAGTTATTAGTATTGGCAACTAATTACAATAATTAGATTCTACTGTATTTCTAAATGCTTTTAACTGCATTACTTGTCCTAATATTGATCAATTTCTATTATTATTAACTATCTTCCTACATCATACTGTATTTGAGTTTGCAGTGTTAGATCTGCTATTAAATTCTATCATTTTAGAGATTTGAGATTCTGACTATGCAAAACAAACCCAGTCAGAATAAAACTCAGATTGTCCATATAATATTTAAATATGTTTAAACAATAGAAATCACTGAAGTACAGGTATCTAATATTACATCTAGTGAACACATCTAAAACAAAAGCCAATCATGAAAATTATTATACAGTGGTCTCTCATACTTTGAATGACCTGAAACAAATTTAAAGTCCAAATCAATTTTTCCGATTAGAAATGATGGAAAGTCAATTAATTCATTCCCAGACCCTAAAAAAATGCTCATTTCCTGAAGGTCAACATTACCATACTTTTAGCCACATTTGCTGCTTTTATTTCTTTCTTATTCTTAAGAATGATGCACACTGTCAATTTCAGCATTTTAAACATGACTCCAGATCTGCCACACATGTACCGGTACCACTTTCATGCTTTGAAATAAGTTCTTTTCTCATCTCAATTGTTGCTATTACAACTTTCCTCTTAGGCTTTGTTTCTTCTATACACTTCTTGAATGCCATAGTTAATAGGGGTTTTATATATAAACAAAAACATCAAAAATAAAACAGAAAAAGCACTGAAAATGCATAAGAATAACACGAGATGCTTTCACAGCAATAGCAACTTAGGTGCACAACAGATGCCATTTATGCTGCAAGTGCATTTTTTCACTTTACAGTATATACAATTTGAACATATTATAGAAGCATTGTTCAAACTCAAGATCAAATTTTTCTCAAATTTAGCATTCCAACTCCGGAACATTTGAAGTACAAGGCACCATTGTATTTTAACTCCCAATAACTGAGTGTAAAATATTATCAACTTAGCTTCACAAAAATTACATTATTTTTAAAATAAAGTGTTATATAAGATTCTGCTGAAGAAGATTTGCAAAAAACATTCTTCTGATACAAATATACCTTTCGTACTATGTATTATAATTAAAATTATAATTTAAATTTCAACTTTCTTTAGATGAATTATAAGAAAAATATACTTTAAAAAATTTTTATAAAATTACCATTTCTATCAGGTGTAGATGATCTAGACAACTGACTATCTGTAGCTATTACTGCTTCTGTGATACTTTTATCTGTACCTTTTGGAGCACTTCCAGATGTACTACGTTTGGAATCTCTAAATCCACCAAGAAGATTAGTCAAAATGCTACTGTTTGCTGTTGAAAGTCCATTCTGAACCGATTCATCTATTGATTTCTTTGGTAACAGTGGACGCTCAGAAGTACCAATTTTATCTTTATTACTGGCAACTGCTGACGATGCTAGAGATTCTTGAAGCTTTTTAGGTTTTTCTGGTAATGGTGGAGGAGAAGAGGTTTGTGATCCAACGATCCGAGGAGGAACTGCAGGACGGTTTGTTTTATCACATGAAACAGGTAATCCAGATCCAGTCCATTGACATTCTGAAATATGTTATTTAAAATAAGCTAAATAAATTGTACCATTTAATGTTAATAGGTTTTATAAGAAATAATTATTATAAAACTAGAAATTAATTGTATCATCATTCAAAATTACAAAAATGAAGTTTAAAAGATATAAAACTATTGATAACTTATGTTTTCTTGAAAATTTTCTAAGATTATAAAATTTTAAACTAATATTTTGTGCATAGGATTTCAAAAAACCAATGGGAAATGTATGTAATTCAAGTAAAACTCATTCTATATCACTATCAGTTCTAATAATAATCATCATAAATTCATGTAATCTTACTTTAACTCTAAACTGTCAAATTTATTTGAAGAAACAGAGGTGAATAGTTCAGAAATATATGAATTTCTCTATGGAGTTAAATAAAGCAAAGCAACTGAAAGGTCATCAGTAATTATCTACAAGTACTACATACAATCAGGAATCTAAGACAATTTTCATTAAATGTATTATGTTATATCAGAGTAATCAAATTAAAATTTTTATTCTAAAGAACATTTTTAAATTTAAGCATAACTTATTCATTCAATTCTCCGAATGAGATTTTATTATATTTATATCACATTAAAAAAATAATAATAAAGTTAGCATGGTGTGTCCTGTTAAATGGATGACAGGAAATAATGTCAAATCCATCCGTCCATAAATTATTGGAGTGGATTTGAACCTGGATTCCCTCTAGTAGTGATATTCAAACAGTTCCATAAACACTTCTATAAGAAATTTTTAATAAATGTTTATTGTCATTATTTTAACCAAAATATCAAACACTACTATGCATATGTAGCTAGAACTATTTCTAAGATTATCAGCACAAAACCTTTCTCACTAATTTCTAGCCTTATTAACTGGAGTACAAACGTTTTCGGCCTTCTTAATAGGCCTTCCTCGGGTACACTGTAGAGCGTCGGCTAGAAGAAGTTTAAATGCTGCCAATGTTTACCCAGGTATCGTCTTACCAGTGACGTCATCGTCGATGATAGGTATACGATACTGAGGGCGAAAAATACATACTTTTGGTAAAGAAGGGAGGTGTGCAGATAGGATACTTGCTAAAGTTGGGGNTTTAGTTGAATTTACTGATTTATCCAAGAATGTAATTTTTACTATTTTATACCATTATATTGTATAGTTAGGGGAGACCGGGGTAACTTCGGCATGCGGGGCAAGTTTGTCAAGCGCTTTTTTTTAAAAAAGCAAATTAAAAGGAGACTTTGGTTATAGGTTAGCCACTTCAACCTGCATTCTTGCATCTTCCTGCTCCAGGGATCCACCTTAACAGATATTCAAAAAATACATATGACACAACCTGTAGTTTTTATTAAAAAAATCAGAAAACGCATATACATAACATTTTTTATGCAAAAAATGAAGCTTCAAGGATTTATTTTCTGTTGCTTGAATTTTTGCAAGCATATCATTTAGATTTATTACAACATATGGTTAATCTAGTAAAGAAGCATTTTGTCACATACTTGTTTAAAGCTAGGGAAGAGAAAATTGTTCTTTTTGGCAGCCATCACCAGCTTTGAATATTGTTCTTGTTACATTAATTGCTATCCCAACGATGGCTGCAAGAAAAACTATTTCTTTAGAAAACAAAATTCTGCTTCTTTATTCCTAGGTAATAGAAAATAAATCCCTGAAGATATTTTTGTATAACACAGAATACCAAACGACAGTTAAATTCTGTTCTGTGCAGACCTTGCAAAGAAAGCCACGAAACATCTTGAATGAAATTTTTTAATTTCAATTTTATAGTTCGTGACTACGCTTTAGATAAAATTATTATACCTTTTTCACACCTTTTTATTTCTATAATTTAAATCTCAAATAAAAAATAGTGTTTACACTTAAAATTTCATATATATATAATGAATATTAAAAGATTATAATCATTGCACAATCTTACACAAATATATTTCAAAATGACTACATGTTCAAAAATATACATAACAATTCATATAATGCATAAACAAAAACCAAATTCGAATGACTAGATATTTTTGTTTAATGAAAACATCAAAATATCTTTGTGTTCAGCTGTGTTTCCAATGTTAAAAAGTAAGTTTCATATTTTTCTGAATTTTTACACGTTTTAGTCGATTCGTTTACTTCTCTATAGTCGTGCAGAGAATCGTTTTGCCGACCGTTTCGCCCCGAAGAGTTAATAAAATAGGTTCTTTCTGGTGAAATGTTATGAGATCTACTACGGATACAAAAGCCTGGAAAAAAATTTTACATTAGTAACATAAAATGAATTCCATTTGGTCAAGTAATTATGTAGTAATATTGGAAAGTGATGCCAACTGTTGCATTCAAAATAAACATATCGTTCACTGAAATTTTATGTAAATATGATTTAAAGCAGATATCAAGTAAGAGAATAAACAGTAGCTATTAATACATGCTGCATTTTATTGGAATCTCTTCTAAGTATACGAAACAGGCTATTAATTAATTTTGTGTTATTTCAAATAATAAATATGGATAATATGTTATGCATTAAGCTAAAGGCTATTTTATTCATATTTGTAATATGTCATAGATTTCAGAATCTCAAATTCATCAAGCAATATAATGCAACTTCAGCAGCTAAACTTGAAGGTGGCATTTTAAGTAAACTAAAAAATTAAATCACCATAAATATTTATCAGCAATTGTTTTATAAAAAAAAAACATAAATTAATCATTTATTTTAAATTTGAAAATAAGGTATGAACAAAACCAATGTATTAAGGTGTTACTGTATTAATTATCATCAAATAATAATGAGAAGGATAAACTTTCAGTGATATCTTAACTTGCAGGAAATGCTATTTGCAATGCATTATTCAAGAATTTTTTCAGACACAAAGAATAATCATAAAATATTTCAAATGTTAAAATCAATCCACTTATATACTATAAGCATGTAGAATGTACAATTTCATGTCAATGTTGGTGAAAATTAATACAGTAGACCCCCCTATAACGCTTAGATACGTTCCACGCTAAGCGAATGTTACGTTATATGAATGATTAAATACATGAGCCAATCGCAGCCCGATAGGTGGGACCTTTACGGACTAAGGCTGTTCGAAAGGTTTTCTTCTATAAAATTAACCGATTCTAGACTAATTCCACTCAACATTTCCAAAACACGTATAATTTTTTGGGAGTAATCCGTACAAACTATGCTATAAACAAAAAATTATAGGATTACTTACCGAGT